GTTCACGTTGCCCTTGGATTTTAACATTCAGCATAGCCAAAGGAAGGATGTGTAAGTATTACATTATTAATAATTATTAAAGTAAATGTAGGCTTAGAATAGGACAGAGTAGAGTTGGAAGGTCTTCTAGTCCAACCCCCTGCTCAAGCAGCAAAATCTATATCATCTCAGACAAGTGGCTGTCCAGTCTCTTCTTAAAAACCTCCCGTGATGAATATCTGGTTAATTGTCCTCACTATCATAAAGCTTCTCCTTAATTCAAGGTTGCTTCTCTCTTTGATTAGTTTCCAACCATTATTTTTTGTCCTGACCTCTGGTGCTTTGGAGAATAATTTGATCACTTCTTTGGGGCAGCCCCTCAAATACAGGAATACTGCTATCATGTCACCTGCAATTCTTCTTTTCTCTAGACTAGCCAGACTCAAAACATGCAGCTATTCTTCATATGGTTTAGTCTCCATGACTTTTATCATCTTAGTTGCTCTTCTCTGAACTTACTAGGGTTTTGCTTGTCCTAGCCCTGGTCACTTAGGTTTTGAGCAGAGGGGTTTGGGTGTGGATATTTGGTGGGAAGGTCAGGTATTCTCCATCCTGTTCCCCAAATTTGCTTTAGCCTCACCAGTGACTTAAGGGTGGAACTGGGCTAAACTCCCAGGAACTGCTTTGTTTAGTTAGGCTTGATAAAATTCACCCAAATTGTGAGAGGCAAACAACATTGTGTAAACAAGGAACTTTTCCTGAGTCATACCATTTATTTTAAAAATGAGAGTTTTAAAAAATGGGCTTGTCAGTTTTCTGTCATCTTTTAAGAAAGGAAGATAGATGCACGCCTGCAATTTGCTTTGTGTCAAGTTATTTGCTCAAAAGTTGTATTATGACACAGCAGGCCTTTTGTGTGGACAAAGGCACTCCCTAACCTTTTTATTGCCAAATAATTTGCTTAGATCACAAAAATAATAACAGGGTTGGGGTTAGGGTCTAATTTGCTACATTTTCTTCATACCCATTGCCAACATTGTATTTTTTTGCTGTTTTAATTCCTCTCAGCCTTCAAGGTGGTTGAGGGAATGGATGGCGTAAAAGTATCAAGAAACAAACTAACTGGTGTTGTGGTCCACCGCAGCCCACAGAGCTGGTAGTGAGGAGGTTGGGGAGGAACATGGGCCAATCCTGGAGTCTGGGGAAGGCTCTGAGGAGGGTTCTGCGTCAGAAGCAGAAAGGGAGCCAGGGCAGTTATGTGCTGCTTCCGGACTCTGACATCAGTAAGGCAAACAAACAGTGTGAGCCTGTTCCCAGTGTATGCATGCGCAAAGCTGCCAGACGGCAAGAACAATTAAGGAAAAAAGGGCAACTTAGAGGAGTAAGGCTTGGAGATGATTGGCCCTTCCCATAAGACATAAAAGGGGAGCAACCGGACGTGAGCCTTTGAAGGAAGCAATTAGTTCATATAGTCGGTTCAAGCTCTGAGAAGTCCTGTTTGACTCTGTGCTATGTTTGGCCTTGCAAAACTAATTGGCAATTAGGTCTCTGGCAGCGTTTCAAGGGAGATGAAGTTGGGTGCTTATGAACATTACCCTAAAATACTGTGTCAACTTGATACGGGCTGTGAATGACCATAATTCACAGCCTTCTAAATAAAAGAGGGTTTTTGGGACTAAGCTTGTGATTTATGCTTTCTCAGGAAGCCTAGGTCAGAACACTAACCTAAAGAAATGGGCTACAGTACACAAACTATTTATTTGTTTCTTTTATTAAATTCATTTGTTGCCTGATTCCCATTGAGCAGACTAATCTGAACAGGTGAGCTGGGGGCTTGTTCTGTTAATGGTTAGCCAGTTCTCTTCCCAATGGCTCTTTGATAGGCCTGGGAAGCTCTGTGCCTTCCTCAAAAGGAATTAAGAGGTCCACAACAGCTGAAACAATCAGCTTAAAGGTGGTTCAAGGTCATTGTGGTATTTTTGGTGTTTGTGGTATCCAAGTATTTTTGGATTAAAAAAAAAGGATCGTGGCAGATCCATTTTCTAAAACGCCTCTGAGAAGACCACGGTTCATTAGAGAAGTTCAAGCATGATTGAGAAGGAGAGCTGAATCTCTGCCTCCAGACAGAAGTCCTCTTGGTAGGTTATGATGGATTTGGCCAAGACAGAAGACTTCACTGTTTTTCAGGAATGCAACCCAAAATAGGGATAAGAATAGCAGTAAAGGCTAGCAATGGGGGCCCTGTCACAGCCATAGGAAGTTGCTAAACGGCTTTGGAAGAAAAACCCCCCCCCCACTTGGAATATTGCATCCAGTTTGGGTCACCATATTATAAAAAAGACATTGAGACTCTGGAAAGACTGCAGGGAAAAGCAACAAGGATGATTAAGAGACTGAAAGTTAAAGCCTGGAGAACAGTTGCAGGTTTGGGTTTGGCCAGCCTAGAGAAAAGGACTAGGGGAGACATGATAGCAGTCTTCCAGTATTTGAGGGCTGCCACAAAGAAGAGGGGGTCAACCTATTCTCCAAAGCACCAGAAGGCAGGACAAGAAGCAACAGATGGAAACTAATCAAGGACAGAAGCAACCTTTTGCTTGAAAGAAAGGCCAGATGAAAAGGAAGACAGGAATAATTAAACATAATTGTATTCTAGTTCAAAGAAGTGATGTCTGGACACTCTCAGACATTCATGTATTCTGAGCACTTCAGGATTGTATCAACAAAATTGCATTTATTTCTGGGCTAATAAAGAGTTTGCCAGTTCGTGCAGTTGTTTATTGCTAATGAAACCCCACGGGTTTTTTTTTTAATTGCTTGAAAAGGAGCAGGGTAGAGGCAGCACAGTTCAGTCTTTGGTGCTTTGGGTCTATTTATTCTCTGTATCAAGAAAAGAGAGAAGAGCTGACAGATGGAACAGAGCCCAGTGCCAGAATCTGTCATCAGGTGAGGGAGGTTATGGGATGCGTGGCAGTCAGAAAAAGCCTCGCATGTCAGTTTCAAACGAAGCAGGCTAGCAGCACCATCCAGATCTGCCAGTCTTCTGGATGCTTAAGGTCAAATGTCGCCTTTTGAATCAATTTTACATGCACTGGTTTGATGTCACTTCCTAAAATCCAAGTTCAACCTGTGACACTTCACACACATCGCAATTTGGAAATTCAGAGCACGTGGGAAGAAAAAGTGAGGAGGATGACATTGGACGGCCCTCAATTTGTGAAACTTCCAAAGATACGGTCGCAATAGGTGGCCATCGATTGAGAAATGAAAAAATGGAAACCTTTGAACTCCTTTAGAAACTTTTCAAAATTTAGCTCATCGATTCACATGGGTGTTAAATACTTCAGAGATTCCCTTGTAGAAACTTAAGGATCTGGATCTGATTACAGGTGGCCCTTGACCTACGACCAAATTTCTGAGCCCAAAATTTCTGCCTCTAAGCGAAACAGTTGTTAAGTGAGCTTTGCCTCATTTACAGCCTTTCTTGCCTTTCTTGTTGAGTGAATCATTGCAGTTGGTGACATGGTGGTTAGGGGGATCTGACTTCCCCCTTGGATTTGGCTTGTCTCAATCTCTCTTTAAAATGTTCAATTCTGGACTTCATCTTTGCGCTCCGGTTGTCTCAGTCTGTCTTTTTCCCCCTTTACAGGACAGGCTCATAACCCTCTGCTTTAAACTACTTTCAAACAGATTCAGTGGGCCATTTCTACAAGGGTTTTTAAATATTACTTTCCCACCCAACTGGCAATGGGTACATGACTCAAATAGATGGGAGAATCAGAAACAGGTAGTCCTTGAACCCAAATTTCTGCCTCTAAGTGAGACAGTTGTTCAGTGAGCTTTGCCCCGTTTTACCTCCTTCTTTGCCACCATTGTTAAATGAATCCCTGCACTTCTTAAGTTAGTGACGGGTCCCGTGAAGTGAATCTGGCTTCCACATGGATGTGTCCTACCAGAAAGCTGCAAAAGGGGATCCCATGAGTGCAAGACACTGTGACCGTCATAAGTATGAGTCGGCTGCTGAGTGTCTGAGTTTTGATTGTGTGCCCGTCGGGTGTAGGGGATTGTCAGATTTGGAAGCCATATTAACACCGGATGCTTCCACACTGCCACATTCTTCTGGAGAGGGGATTTAGTAGATGGAACATAGTTAGATAAAATAGCATTCTTCCTTTCGGTCAAGCTCAGGGTATTCCTGCATCTGGAGGAGGAGTGGTTGGAGTGATGTCTGGAGTTGGGACAGATGGGGAGTGGACCATGTGATGAACAGATGGATGCAGGGGATGGGTTTGGACTTCTGACTTACTGAGGGAAAGGCCGGAATTCTCAGATTTGGGTTTTCCCAGATATGCCTTTATACCTACTCTAATAAATGGGAGCTTGGAGAAAATGCCTCTCTCAGAGTTTCATTGGAGTTGGGGTTTTCCGGAACGCTGCCAGGGATGCTGCAATAGTCATAAGTGTGAAAAACAGTCCCAAGTCATTTTTTTTCTGCTAATGTTGTAACCAAACGAAGAGTTATAAGTTGAGGGCTGCCTGTAATTAGAATAGAATAGCAAAGTTGGAAGGTACCGTGGAGGTCTTCTAGTCCAACCCCCTGCCTAGGCAGGAAACCCTACACAACCTCAGACAAATGGTTATCCAACCTCTTCTTTAAAACCTCCAGTGTTGGAGCATTCACAACTTCTGAAGGCAACTTGTTCCACTGATTAATTGTTCTAACTGTCAGGAAATTTCTCCTCAGTTCTAAGTTGCTTCTCTCCTTGATTAATTTCTACCCATTGGTTCTTGTTCTACCCTCAGGTGCTTTGGAGAATAGTTTGGCTCCCTCCCTTCAGCTGGATGGAGGGATTCCTTGAAAAACATCAATTACCTTATTTTTTTGTGCATCCAGAGATCAGGGTTGTTGTTGTTGTTGTTGTTTTTGAAAAAGAGGTCTCCCAAATCACCTTAAAACACACTAAGCAGAGATTTGGTTCCCTCAGATCCTGATGTCAGAATTTCTCCTTCTGTTTTTACTCCAGGTGCTGGAAGACGCTGAGGCCCAGCATCTTTTTCAGTCCATTCTGCCTGACATGGTGAAGCTGGCGCTCTCTCTGCCCACCATCTGCACCCAGGTGAGTCTGCATGTTTGAGGGGTCTTCTCTAGAGAGGGGACAGGACAGGACAGAATGGGGGATGGGATGTGGGATGGGATGGACAGGAACGCAGAATAGAATAAAACAGAATAATAAAGTTGGAAGGACCTTGGAGGTCTTCTAGTCCACCCCCAGCTCAGGCAGGAAACCCTATACCATTTCAGGCAGGTGAATGTCCAATTCCTTCTTAAAAACTTCCATTGTTGGAGAATTCACGACTTCTGAAGGAAAGTCGTTCTATTGATTAATTGTTCTAACTGTCAGGAAATTTCTCCTTAGTTCCAGGTTGCTTCTCTCCTTCATTAGTTTCCACCCATTGCTTCTTATCTTGCCTTTGGAGAATAGCTTGGCCCTCTTTCCTTTGTGGCAGCCCCTCAAATACCTGCTATCATGTCACCCCCAGTGCTTCTTTTCACTACTTCAGCCAAACTCAACTCCAGCAACCATTCTTTATATGTTTTAGCCTCCAGGCCACTAATCATCTAATCATTGATTTGCTGTAAAGGTAGTTCTCGACATACAGCCATAATGGAACCTATTTATTACAGTTATCCAGGTAGTCCTTGACTTATGATCACGATGGAGCCCAAAATTTCTGTGTTTAAGTGAGTGTTGCCCCATTTTACGACCATTGTTGCCACAGTTGCTAAGTGAATCACTGAGTTTGTAAAGTTAGTAACTCCGTTATTAAGGGAATCTGGCTTCCCCGCTAACTTTGCATGTCAGAGGATTCCAAAAGGGGATCACGTGACTCCAGGACACTGCAACCATCATAAATATGAGTCAGAGCCCCAGTAAGCAAATAATCCTTTCTCTTGAATTTAGAAAAGATAATTTTTAACGAAGAATGCCCTCACATTTTGAGAATCTGCATATCCTCCAGAATTCCGTGGTTTACCCTGTTCTTAACAGTTACTTCTGTTTGCAAGTTTTAAACAGTTTCTTCTTAAGGAGATGCACACAAAAAACCTGACCTCAGGATATCTCCTATTTGGGGGCTGCTGGCTGTATATTTTGTTGAGGTTAAACATGTTTGTAAAGCAACCAGACAATCAGGATGTTTCGGTGGAAGCTCCTCAGTTTGCCATTTATTTTTTTCTTGAACCGTAATTTTCTTTCCCATTTAAAGAAGGCAATCAACCTAAGGAGCATGTCAGTCCTTCCAATGTAGTTGTGTTGTTTGGTGTCTCATCACGGCGCCTTGTCTCACAGCTGTTACGATGTGATTGCCTGTGATTGCCCTTTGCTGAACGGCATGAGAGCCAGCCTGCTAAGCACAATTAATGCCATCCCTTCCGGCTTTCTTTTTCCTTCCCGGCTCCTTCACCTTCCCCCTCTTCCCCCTGTCTTTTTTTCAAGACCCCGATGTTCTGTTTGTCTTCTTGTTGTTATTGATTGAAGTCTGCAGTTTGTCAAACAAGGCTCTTGTCCCAATCAGCCTGGATAAACAACTCTTGACTTCGGGACGATGCTGATTTCAGGAGCTCCCCGAGCCTCTAAATTAGCAAGCGCCATTTTGTTCTCCTGGCTTCTTGTGGGTGCTTTCTCTTCCAGATCTCTCAAGTGAGGATGTCTTGTCTTCATTTCCAAAAGCGGACTGGACTTGGTTTCTTTTTGTTTTTTCCTTGCAAATGTTTTGCCTTTCATCCGAGACCCTCCCAAGACCCTTCTTGTTTTATTTCTCTTTTAGCCGATCCCTCTTCTAAAGCAGAAAATGAACCACGCAGTCACTCTGTCCCAGGAGCAGGCAGCCACTCTCCTAGCCAACGCCTTCTTCTGTACCTTCCCTCGGCGCAATGCCAAGATGAAGTCAGAGTATTCGAGCTACCCGGACATTAACTTCAACAGGTAGAGTGCCCCTCCCTGCCTCAGAACACACGCCAGGGCCTCCCCTGACTGGAACGGTCTGCATGGGGCCTCATGGCTTCCTCTGGTTACAGGGGGTCCTCGAGTTATCAGATCATACATTTAGTGACAGCGTGGGGGCGGGGGGGGGGACTTGAGACCATTTTTTGTACCAGGGTCATGGTCATGGCAACTGGCATGTACTTAGGATGGTTGCGGTGTCCAAGGGTCAAGCGATCCCCTCTAAGAATCTTCTGACCTTGGGAAAGCCAGATTTGCTTAGCAACCGTGTTAATGATATGATAACTGCGTCCAGGAAAGGTTGCAGAATAGGGCAAAACTGACTTAACTGTCTTGCTTAGCAGTGGAAATTTTGGGCTCAATTGTGGTTGTAAATCAAGGATTTCCTGTAGTCTCCAGAATATCTCATTATAGAAGTCGTTTTGCAGAAGTTCATTCAGGAAGTAGGAGGAATTAGATTTGGATCCGAATTGCTTTTTTTATTTATTTGGTCCTGATGTTGTCTTCCTGAGATAAATAGGAGCATCTAAGGGCGTTTCTGAAGGGGTAGAAACACCGTGGATTTAGATTGCATTTTGTATTTATTGCACAGCTTGCCGCAACACAGTTACTCATTTTTTTAAACATCTCAATTGTGGGTTGAAATTATATTCTATCTCAGAAAAAGTTGAACTTGTCTTGGATATCTTTGTACTTGATATCTTTGAGAATATGGCCTTCTAAATCAGTTAATTACCTGAGCTAGCCATTTGACTGCTAATCTTTTTGGAACAGAAAAAAAAAGAACGAATTTAATATACACTTGTCCCAAAGGTGCCTTTTTCAAGAGGCTTTGCTTTTCTTTGAAGACATTTCACTTGTCATCCAAGAAGCTTCTTTAGCTTTGATTGGATGATGGGGAACTGAGAAGCGAAACATCTTCTCCCTCTTGAAGAAGGGACAGCCATGACCTGGATGACTTGAGAATCTCCACTGACATTTAATGTACACTTTGCTTGGGAAGCTTAAACCTTTCACATTTGTTTGTTTTTTACTTAGAGACTCAGCTGTTGTCAAAATAATTTTAAAATCTATGGTGTAAGAGTCATTTTAGGCAATAAAATAGCAACTTCAAATGGTGTACCTGTTCGGTAAAAAGCAGTAGGTCTGATGACAGGGCTATCCATCTGTCTTATCAAAATAAGAGACGCTGGCTACAAAAGGTTAAAAATGTTACATATTTTATTTTCCTTAAACCAAAGGTGCTTCCGTCACCCTTCTTATCTGCTGTTGACAACAACTGATCAGGAGGATTTAAAAAAAAGAAAGAAACCCTTAAGTTCTTAGCCCGACTGAATTTTATGTAGCGGATTATTTTGACTTCATTTACTGCAAAGCTTCTGGAGAGCCAGGTGGGGATTTCGGAGATTGTGTTATAGATGTTTATTTGGTTTGTGGTTCTCCAAAATTTCTCTTGGGTCGAGAGTCCCTGCAGCATTTTCAACTAAGGGGCAACATTCAGGGTTTTTGAGAGGGCTGCTAAAACAGCCACCCTCTGTGAGACTTGCACATTCGCACAACAATTGCGAAGCATGCAAAAATGCAAATCTGTGTCACTTGGTGAATTGGTGATATTAGCTCTGTGACACACAACAGATATTTCTGCCAAGCTAAGATTTTGGATGCTCGGCAGAAAGACCTGCAAAGCAGACCAAAAGCACACTATACAGAATGGCGCAGCCTTAGGAAACACACAAGGCGAATCCAAGCCCAGCGCAGCTGATGCTGAACCAAGGGAGCAGGGATGCCGATCGGCTGATCATACCCTGCGCTTTTCCCCCCACTGATGGACTCCGACTCAGATTCCTTCTGCTGTAGCTCCTCTTTCCTAATGGGTTCTGCCGTCTGGGAAAGACCTACGGAGGGCTCCCCTGCTGATGGAACTGGAGCCAGAAGCATCCCTGGAGGGAGGACCCTGGAGGGCTATTGGTCTTTAAAATAACTTGAAAATGCAAGGGTGACGAGGAGAGGACCTGTTGGGGCCCCAACAGGTTTTGATGAGTCTCCCCTAAACATTTGTTAGGGGATATAGCCGCAGACATAGTTTAGTGTCAAAGGTCACTTCCTTGGATTGGCAGCTCACTTTGATTTCCCCTTGCAATAGATGTCCCATATCCTCCCTCCCTCCCTCCTTTCCCATAACTCATTGCTCATGAAGAATGAAGTCATCTTTTTAAGAAGAATCCTTACTCAGTGTAGCCTCAGAGCTACTGGCTTCTCACGTCCCCATAAAGAACATTGTGTTCATATTTGAGAAACAAGGGACAGCTCTAAATGAAAAATATTATGCAGGGACGAATCTTTGATTGAAGTGTGTTGTTCCTTTGATTAAAGCTAGAAGACGAAGCCGTGGTGAACCCTGTCCTCTCCTGAAGGCCAGCAAAGAAAGCTTGTGAACTTTTTTTAAAAAAAATCAAGACAAGGGCAAAGTATGCTAGTTAAGATACATGAACTGCAAGGAAATGATTCTGCTGCACATTATGTTTATGCAGGGGAGTGGAAATCTGATTTTGCAGTAATGCAATTGTCTTTTACCATAAGCATCAATTGGATAACTTTAATGACCCTCAATTTTTTCATCTATTTGAGCTAATCCACTTAGGAAAGAGAGCCCCATATCGTATGTATGAAAACTGCCTCTGGTCACCTCCTACAAATGAGTTCATTTCCAATACCTGAATATTTTCTGGAAGTTGGTTTAAAAAACTAGCTTGTTTATGAATTCCATATATTATTTCCCCATGGAAAATTTAAAACCACCACAACAGCAACATTTCCTTGTTGAGTTCTTGTGCAGTTTTGAGACCAACAATACTTTGGGATACGTTTGGGAAGGTGTCAGGGGGCCCCTTTCAGACTGTGTCCATAAGGCGTTTTACACAGCTACCGTAATCATCCATCCATCCATCCTTTTTTTAAACACTAAAAATATTGATTCTGCCACCTTTATGATGGAAATTCTCCATAAATATTCAAGCCACAAAAATAAGCTGGCTTTTTGAGGGATAGTGAAAGGCCGATAGTTTTGGGGGAAATTGAAATATATCCAATATTCATTTTGGAACCAAACATTGCTAAGTTAAGATGGTACAACATGGACTTTGTTTGACTTGCAGTTTAATTGTGTTTGATGCCTTTAAATAGGATTTAGTCAGAGACTCCATTTGATTGTTCGACTGCCTTCAAAAGTTTCATTTCGCTTTCTTTTGTGCTGCCAAGGGAAGTCTTGTCCAGCAGATCCACTGACCTCTCAATAGAGACACACAGGCCTATAAACAAATGCAACACTGAATCATGGGGAGAAAAGATTGAGGCCCATTCCAGTAGCTTTGGCCTTTGGGTGGAAACTCAGGGCACTCTGAAATGTTGACTAAAAGCTTCCCTGCTAGAAATTAATAGAACATCAGGAGAGTTAAATATAGCAGTGTATGTAAAGACCTTGAATTAACTGTATTCATTTTCAAAGTCAAAATCTATCCTCCCTCCCTCCTTCCTTCCCTCCTTCCTTCCCATCCTCTCTTTCTTTTTTCTTCTATTTACAAAGTTTGTAATGGTTCCACTTTCTACAGGAACAAAAAAAAAGAGCCAGAAAAGTAATACTTGTTGGGTAGATGATACCATAGAGGAAAGGGACATGTGATTTTGTCACAAGTGCAAAAAATAATTCACCTTGAGATCAAGTAGTAGTTGTTGTTTTTTGTTGGGTAGAGTTGATGTTACACTTGATATTTGGTTGACTGCAATAAAGATGGAAAGAAATTGTCTGTGAGGTGAAATGGTTGAAATGTGTTCGTTTACTCATAAGCCAGGGGATTCCTAAACCTCCAAGCTATTTTCTATGTAAATAAAGAAAATGAAACTCATTTGCTTAATTAAAAAGACTCACAGCCATAACCAAGAATTTGTTTTCCATGGTACTTTGTGTTTGACATGGTTTGGAGGTGCTTGGAGACTTTTTTCATTAGAAAACTTAAATCTCACTTGAGGAAAATTCTCTTTTCCTAAAACTTTGAGGGAAAAAGTAAAATACAAACATTCTTTATATGCTCAGCTGACTAAAGTTCCCAATTCTCTATGAAAGATTCTGAAGATGTTTTGAGAAAATGAAAAAGTACTTACAATTGTGTAGCGGCAAAGCAAAATAGATTTTGTACGATTGGTATGGACACCTTTTAAATAAATTTAATATATGAAAAAAGGCAAACTGGAAAATAAAACTTTAATATGCGATTTTTAATCCTCTTAACTTTTTGAAGGGAAGAGCTCTGTTTTCCTTAAATTCTACTATACACACATTTTTTTCCTATAAAGGAGTAAGAATAATCTTAAACTATTGCAATTATTAAAACTGCTACAAATAAAAGTGTGTGACAAGGAACAACCTGTAGCAACCAGAATGAAGTAAAAAAAAGGAAAAGAAAAATACTTTTTTAAAATTCTTGAAGGAAAATTGTAAAATTGAAGTACCGTAAAGATACCCAAAGCCACCACTTTCCTTCCTGAGCAGACATTTTGTAGATTCAACCTGTCATCAGATGTTTATATCGAGACTTCCAAAAAAAGTGGATCGGAATATAATCCTGCTTTTAGACTGAATCTCTCCAGGTTTGCTAGGAAACAAAAAATGACGATTATGGTAACAACCCTTGCTTCATTGCCCTGTTAGCAGAAAACAAACAAAAAAACCACACACACACACACACACACACACACACACACACACACACACACACGATAACACTCAAATTGCATTATTGGTCAAATCTCAGATGCTGAATAATGGGAGTCAAAACTACAAGATCAAAACGATGAGTTTTGCCTTTTACTTATATTGCTTTATAATTAGGTCAACATCTAAAGAAATTCAGCCAGAATGTTCCATTAGCAAATGGATTATGTGAAGTCTGATCAACAAATTGCTTTCAAGTCTCTCCTGCAAATCTTTAGCTGAGCTAAATAAAAATGTAACGAGTAAGATGGGGCACCACCGAAGACCCAAGTGTTGCAGCATCCCTACTTCTCTCACAGTTCCACTGCCAGCAACATCTAAGTGCTACAGAAAACATCTGGGACATTTTAGCCTAAGAACAATCTCCTAAAACATGTGACATGCACCACTGTGCCACTCCCTTGACTTTACTGGTGCTTTTCTTCCTAGTTCGTTCCATGCCTGTTGCTGTTCTGACCTAGGTTTCCTAATACAGTAAAAAGCACACGCTTAATCCTCCAAACCCTCTTTTTATTTCAAAGGCTGTGAATTATGTTCATTCACATCCTGTAATGAGCCCCAAATAGTTGGAAAGAGTCCTACAGTAGGCTGGCAAAGTCTTTTGGGATAAGGCTGATAAGCACCCATCTTTATCTTCCTTGAAACGCTGCCAAATACTTAATTGGCAATTAGCTTAGCACGGCCACATGGAGCAAAGAATCAAAATGGAGTTTCAGAAGGTAAACTGACCAGCATGAACCAAGTTGCTTCCTGCAAAGGCTCACATGCCTTTGCTCCTCCCTTAAGTCCTATGGGAGGGGCCAATCACCTCCAAGCCTTACTCCTGAGTCGTCCCTTCTGTCTTAACTGTTCTTGCCTTCTGGCAGCTCTGTATATGAGCGCACTGGGAACAGTGGGAGCTTGTTCCTCTGCCTCGCTGCTGTCCAACTCTGGAGGCTCCAGAGGCAGCACATAACTCCCAGATGGCCCTCGCCATCTCTCTGATGCCAACACAGAGTCCTTGTCCGCACCTTCCCCAGACTCCAGGACTGGTCTATATTCCTCCCCAACTTCCTTGCTGTCCGATTCTTCTGGCAGCTTTGCAGGCTGCCAGCGGACCACAACAGTTCATGTTCCAGCCCAAATCAACAGAACAGAGGTTCATTAGTTGCTGTAGCATCCGCTGTGTGACCTTTTTGCTGAGGTGGTCAATTTCACCGCTGAGGCCTGGTTCTTCATAACTGAGAAGTTGAGCAATTTGCAACCATTCTGTTCACCTACAGAGGTGTCTCAATGACACCAATCCCACCAGGCCACAGAAGATCTACCAAAGGTCTATTTTGTAGGATAGACCTTATATTGACCTTATTATAAGTACTGCTACTTCATTCATCACAGTCTGATGCAACACCCATGTTAACAGGGTTAACAGGTAGCAAACTCATTCTTTCCTACTTCACAGGCACCTGTACCTTCAGGTATAGACTTTAAGCAGCATCTCCAGCGAATTCCCAAGTTGACTCTAGATCTTCTCCCAGCTTAGGAATTTCCAGAGTTATGTGGATGTGTTCTTCACCATTACAACTGAAGTTAACCAACGAGTGAAAATGCTTCTCTATCTTGCCCTGGTTAGACTGCACCTGGAAAACTGTCCAGTTCTGGTCACCTCAATACAAAGGAAGACCGCTGAGAAGAATGTCAAGATAGTAAGGAACGTAGAGGCTAAATCCTATGAGGAGCAGTTATAGGAAGTTGGCATGTCTAGTTTAAAGAAGAGAAGGTTGGGGAGAGGCGTGATAGCAGCCTTCCAATGCATGAAGGGCTCTCACAGGGGAGACAGAGCAGACGCTTTCCTACCACCTGAGGACAAGAGAAGAAGCAATGGGTGGAAGCTTCACAATGAACAATCCAAAATTTAAAATTTCCCGACTTTGAGAGTCTCCCTCCCTCCTAAAGTTGGGGGGGGGCTCCTTCTCTGGAAGTTTTCAAGAAAAGACTGGACAGCCATTGGCCAAGGGTGGCCTGAGGATCCCTGCCCTGGACATGGGTTGGATTAGAAGACCTCCAAAGTCCCTTCTAGCCCTAGGCTTCTATGAAAACATTATTTCAACTTTGGTTTTTTTTGTTTTGCATCACTGTTTTGAAAGCTAGCTTCCAAACAAAGACTTAAATTTCAGTTATTGAAATTTGATCCCAAGGTGCTTTTATTTTGTTCAAGAGGCAACTGGACTTCCTTTGTTTTCATTGAAGACATTTTACTTCCCATCCAAGAAGTTTCTTCAGTTCTCAAGAACCTTTTTCTCCTCCTCACTGAAGAAGCTTCTTGGATGAGAAGTGAAATTTCTTCAAGGAAAAACAAAGGAAGTCCAGTTGCCTCTTGAACAAAATAAAGGCTCTTTGGGAAAACCATGACTTGGATGACTGAGAATCTCCACGGACATGTCAAAATCTTTTTCTTCAAATTGAGCGTTCCTTTCTACCAAACAGAATGAGGCAGATCCTAGCCTTTCCTAGTTAACCTTTCGAGAGTGGATGTGAGAGATGAGAGTGTGCCCCAATCTTTTTTGCTATCTCTGGCCTCTATTAGCGAAGAGATTCTTAAGAGGCCTCCTCCTTCCTGTTCTCAAGCCACCACAGCTTCTCCTTCCAGGCAAATTGCATTATAGGCCAGCCATTGCGATGGAGTTTGTTTTGTATGAAATGAAATCCAGTCACATAAGTGCAGATGGCTGGAAGGCAGTTTAAAACATGCTGGATATAAAAGTATGTGCTCTTTTAATGACTAAAAATAGTTATGTTTACAGGTGTTCCAGGATTTAATGAGGGTATCCTCCCCCCCCCCCCCCCCCGCTTTGAAATCAAACAAGGAAATGTGTTCCTTGCATAGTAAAATGGCTGAAAAAGAAAATTTTCTTTTTCTTAATCGGGAAAAAAAACCATTGAAGGAACCTAACTTATTGTCAATATATTAAAGGGGCAGATTTTGAAATGCTTATTGCCAAAATCAGGGCAAATATAATCATGACCAAGAAAACAAATGCTGAAATGGTGACACAAGTGGCCGAGTTACTTGTTTTCACTTGTTAAATATAGAAACCACGTCCTTCACTTGCTAGGTCTTACGTAGCAAAAAGCTCAGAAAAAAACGCATTGCCTGTACTACATGAAAAAATAGATAGTAAAGCAATAAAGCATTTTTAAAAAATCAAAGTTTGTATTTACTACTTAAAACGGAGCAAGGACGGAACACATATTACCCAATTCCAGAATTGAATAAGGCTAATAAAAAGTCTCTCTTGAGTATACTCCAACTATCGTATTTTTCAGAGTATTAAGACGCAGCGGCGTGTAAGACGCAGCAAGATTTTTGCTCATTTCTGCCCTCCCAGGCCCCCAGGAGCAATCTGAAAGCCTCCTAAAGCTATGCACGGCCATTTTGGTGAAGGGGGTGGGGTTTTGGAAGTTGAAAAATGCTGTATTCAGTGTATAAGACGCACCCAGATTTTCAGCCTCTTTTTTTAGGGAAAAAGGTGTGTCTTATGCTCCAAAAAAAGACAGTATCTGTTTAGAAGAGCAGAATATCATCTGTTCCGATTGGGGCTCTGAATTTTCAATTGGATTCAGATAATCTGGACAAGTACATTTGATACGCAAAGAAAGGAACCACCCAGCATTTTGATGTGGACTTAGACCATCTTCCTTCTTCTGCAGATCCTTGGCCCGTACCAAGGGCAAACCAGAACCGAGAAAAATTGTGACAGGGATTGTTTTAAAATGGGCTTTGGGGAATGCAATTGCTTCATTTTGCTTTGCTTAATTACTTTCCAATAATTGTCCTATCTTTTTGCTTCCCGTAGATTGTTTGAGGGGCGATCTCCGAGAAAGCCTGAGAAGCTGAAAACCCTTTTTTGCTACTTCCGAAGAGTCACTGAAAAAAGTAAAGTGGCTAATCTCGTAGCCTTTTCTCTGCCCCAGGGGAATTAAGCCTTTAACTCTCTGGTTTAATGACTGGTAGATCGTGACAAATGGTCAATGTCAGCCCTTCAGCTTCGGGATCTTTCATGAGAACTTTGGCGGAGGGAGATCATAACCTGTGAAGAATGTAAAAAATATATAGGAAGAAGTCACCCCATTATTATGAAATCTGAACAGTTTGACCCTAAGAAATGGGTTGCACTATTAGTGTTACTTCTGCAACTAATAATAATGACATCACCAAGTAGCAAACATAGCTTTGGAAAAACAGCGTGCTAAGTCATTGGACAGCGCAGATGGTCCTCGATTTACGACCACAATTAAGCCCAAGTTTTCTGTTCTTGACATTTGTTGAGTGAGTTTTGCCCATTTAATGATCTTTCTTGCCACAGTTGTTAAGTGAATCACTGCAATTCTTTAGAGTGTAACACAATGGTTAAGTGAATCTGGCTTCCCCATTGACTTTGCCTGTCAGGAGGTCACAAAACGGGATCATGTGTCCCCGGAGCACTGCGACCGTCATTAATACAAGTCAGTTGCCAAGTACCTGAATTTTGGTACACGACCACAGGGATGCTGCAACTCTGAAAAATGGTCACTTTTTCAGTATGGTTGTAATTCTGAACGGTCATTGAATGAACTGTACATTTATCAACCATTCGTTTAGTGACCGTTCAAAGTTACAATGGCACTGAAAAAAGTAACGACTGTTTTTCTTATGACAGTTGCAGCATCCTTAGGATCAAAATTTGGACACTTGGCAGCCGGTTCATACTTATGATTGTTGCAGTGACCCGGGGCCATGTGGTCCCCTTTTGTGACCTTCTGAGACGCAAAGTGTACGGGGAAGGCAGGTTCACTTAACAATCCTGTGACTAACTTAACAACTGCAGTGATTCACTTAACAACCGTGGGCAAGAAAGTTTGTAAAATGGGGGGACTCATTTAATAACTATCTTACTTAACAATGGGAATTGTGGGCTCCATGGTGGCCATAAGTCGAAAACTGCCTACCTCCGATTAATCAACTTCGGTTTATTGCCAAAGGATGGCAGCATCATGTATTCCCCTCCAGCCTTGGCGTTTAGATGATACTGAGGCAGATCCAAATAGCGTCATTCTAATATCAAAGGGGCTGCCACAAGGAAGGGGGGTTCCTAACGGTGAGTGCAATGAACCCGTAGAAGGGCTTGCCTTGGGAAGTTGTGGGCACTCCCATCACTGGAGATTTTTAAGAAAGAGATTGGACTGAAATAGTAGAGGGTCTCCTGCTTGAGCAAGGGGTTGGACTAGAAACCTCCAAGTTCCCTTCCAACTCTTGTGCTGTTCTGCTTTTAGAAGGTGAAAGCTTTATTTGGGCAACATTAGCTCTTCATACAATAGTCATTTTGTGGTGAAACAGAAGATTAATGCAGATATTGCTGGGGGAGGCGGGGATGGAACAAGGCTTCCGACAAACTTCTTGAATCCCTTGCAGCTTCTAAATAGTTTAATAAGACTCTTTAAATATTTTCCATAGAGAATTTTCCAGGGATATTGCATTCTGCTCCCTTCATGTCTCCGTTTAGCAAATCAGTCAGCCAAATCATTGCAAAACACAAGAGATGAGGCATTTCCACAAGAATAAACGAAAGTAAAGTAAAATAAACTTGTTTCCTCCGGTACAATGCTTATCTAGAAAACTTACTGGGTCCAGCTCTGATTTCTCCAAGATGCTTGGGTAGAATGTCAACCTTAATTATTAGTAGGCATCCAAGTTTATGTATTCTGTTGTTTATTTTATTTTAATGTTTAAACTTTTAATGCTTAATGTTTTCATGTTTTTTAAAAAAACTTCTAATTGTATTATGCTCATATTTATGAGACTGTATCCCATCCAGAGTTGCATGGTAGTGTGGTGGGCGGCATATGAATTTAATAATGAACAGTGGCTGCAGATTGGAGTTATAGATATTGAAGTTACTAATATTTCTCTGTTTTGGTCTGTTTGCTTTTAAGAACCCACTGGGCTTGTGACATTTACCAGACAGTGTCTGCAGGAATTTCCAGAATGGGAAAGGTAAAGTCAAACAATATCTCCTTTTTTTATTTACTATATATGTTTCAATTCATTACAGTGAAAGCTTGGCCAAGAATAAGATTCAAAATGCAAATTGAAACAAAGAGTGTATCTCAACAAATAGCTATTGTCACTATTACAAGTTAAAAGTAATATCTTGTTGTGTAATTAGTAAGCAAGGTAGGAACATTTTGCAACCTGAATCATTACTTCATGGTTGTTACCAGTCAGGAACAAACAACATAAAGAGAAACAGGATTGCCCGAGTAACTGAAAAAGAATGGGCATAACAAGTGATAAAGGTATATAAGGGCAGCTGATTCCACCTCTCTAGAACCATATAGATCAGGGGTCTCCAGCCTCAGCAACTTTAAGGTTTATGGACCAACTCCCAGAATTCCCTAGCCAGCTATGCTACGCTATGCTATGCTATATGCTATGCTAAATGCTATGCTATGCTATGCCTGGGGAATTCTGGCTGTTGAAGTCCACAGATCTTAATGTTGCCAAGGCTGGACACCCAAATATAGACAAAACCACTGAGAGAAACAAAGTCCATATATCCGATGTTCATATAAAAGGAGCGCTAGACCAAGAGGTGTGTTTTACAAACAAAACCGTTTTGTATGTTAGGATGGTGACTATTTTTATTTCTAAAGGAGAAAAGCAACTTTATTTTGCATGAAAATCCTCAAGTACTCCTTTTTGATAGAAATTGATAACTTGTCATCCTGATCTTAAACCTTCAACAACACAAAGTCTTTAATTTGCCATTCTTCTTTAAGAATTACCCTGAAAACTTGCTTCTTGTCGCTGCTATTTTGGTAAATCGGTAAATCTATAAAGCCCCAGTTAAGGGTACAGCTGCCAATACGTTTATCTCCTTGCAATCTGCAAATGACACGTTTTATTTCAGCAGGGTTCAATGAAAGATAATAAAAAGATTCTGCTGTATGATTCACAAATCAGCAATGTAGCTGGCACAACAGGGTGTTGTACCCAAAATCGTCCCCTGAGGCTCCTTTACATCCATTTCCAGCTGACAGATTGCATTAAGAACCAAGTTCATGATGCAACTTTGGGGCGGGTGCAAAAAAAGACGCCGCACAATCAGGGTATGAAACCTGCAAGAGATACAGCCTGTTTTCTGTACAGTTTTCCTGCTGTTTGGGGACTTTTTGTTAGTTGGAGAGGCAGCAGCTGCTTTATTAATGGGCACAGAGCATATTAAGATGAGGACAAAAAAAAATCAACAACTCCCCCCATGTTGCTTTGATGTGCTTCTTTTTACAGATCTCCAAAAAAATTGCCCAGATTGCATGTCACCCATGAAGGGACGATTGAGAGCAACGGGCAGGGAATGCTCCAGGTAGGCATAGAATCTGCACATGTCTACAAATCAGTTCTGCGCTAGGTTATGTCAAAGCTATCACACATCACGTTGCAACATAGATCTATTGGCTCAGTTTCCTATCTTGAGAACAGCCTTTTTGACTGACAGTCGGAAGACCTAAATGGAGTTTAGGCTTTGTTTGTTTTCCAAGTCAGGTGAAGATTGACAAGTGTCGGAGGAGAGGGGGCCAGGGTAGAGGAGTGACAGGCTGCCAATTTTTCAGTTTTTGCCCTTTTTTAAACAAAAAAACATAAAAAACTGAGAGCAGTATTTCTGTGCCCTGTCTGGTGACCAGCTCAGCAAGTTCAGGAAGCTTCATCTGAAAACCAGTCAACCAGAACAGTTTGATAAGGAGCCTGTCTTGTCCATAATCCTTAGGCATTGTTTGCATATTTGCAAACCGGAGAGAGAAGAATTTTGAAGTGCGTGAAGTACTCTGACCTACATCGGTTGTTCGTTTGACTTCTACTTTGAACCCAAATAAATAAGTGTTTCGAATATCGTTTTATTTTCCTTAAACCTTTGGGCATGTTCATTCTATTCACGGCAGAGTGAGTTTGTGGTGACAATGCTGGATAAGGTTCAAATCTGCGTTTAACTCTAAAAACTCACTCCAGAACAGCTACTTTTTCTCACTTGAGGTAAACCATTGTTTCTCCACCTTGGCAACGTGAAAACATGTGGACTTCTGAATTCTGGGGATTGAAAACCATAGATGCCTAAAGATGCCAAGGTTGAGGAACCTCAGTCTAAGCAGCATTGTGGAATTATCGTGGGGATAAAGTAGGATCTTCTTCACAATAAACATCTTTTAATCCTGAAAAAAGGGCAGGCCCTAAGTGTAAGAGCCATGAACCACAAGCAAGCCACTCATATAAATTTTGGATGCAGCTTAAAATTCTCCCTTTGCAAAAGCATCACAAAGGGTTATGCCTATTCTTTTTCAATAGTTATCTTTGACTTTTGTTGTCATTAAGTGGGTTGTGATTGTGACATGCATTTTATAAACCAAAATAGTAAATTGAGGGCATTTGCGAAGAGACAACAGTTGTGTGATTAAGAAGATTGTGCATCACATATCCTGGAGTTAAGAGAAGTTCCGTATTTTTCGGAGTATAAGACACACAGGAGTATAAGGCCCACCAAGATTTTGAGGAGGTAAATTTTTTAAAAAAGTTTTTACTCTCCCCAGCCCCCAGAAGGACTCTGCAGGCCTTCCAAACCCTCTGAAAACTGAGGCATGCAGAGAGTTTGGGAGGCCTGCAAAGTGCTTCAGGGGGCCAGGGAGGGCAAAAACGGGATGTGCGTGCTCAGTCATCCTAAAGGATAAGGTTTTTATCGATCTCAATCCGTTTTTCTCTAACCCTCCCCAGGGCAGGGCAGGACTAAACATAGCTCTCCACCCTTTATTTTTTCCCCCTTCCCTCTGATCAGCAACCAAGCAGAGCCGCTTGGTCCAAGGAGCAGCAGTCGCCTCTTCCCTTCAGTGAGGAGAGAAAGACACGTGGCGGCTGCTGAACGGCTGCTACTGTGCTTGACCGGGAAGGGCCCATTGGGCGAGGAGGGGTGGGGATTCTTTCTATTTGGATTAACGGTTCCTTGTTGTGGTGCCTGAGCGGCAAAAGGAAAGCCCAAAGAATATGACCTGGCTAGGCTGCCTCCTTGAAAAACCGGGCAGGTTCACAGCCCTCTTCACAACCCCCGTCATGCAGCAAAGTGCCAGGCTCTTTGCTGCATGACAGATCCAGGCAGATTGGAGGTGGGGGTGGAGGAAGAGAAGAGGAACAGTCTCCTCTCCATGAAGGCTTTTCTCAGGACGCTAAATTGGGAAGTTAAAAACCTGGAATGGGATCCAATCAAGCTCCTGAGATCGCTTTGCTGCCACCTCAAAATACTGTTACCGTGATCTCTGCCACCTGGAACTGCCCGAGAAGAGGCAGGTGAAGTGGGCTCTACAGAGATTGCTGTAATAGCATTTTTGGGTGGCAGCGCAGTGACCCAAAGACAAAGGCTTTGAATCAAGCTTGATTGTACCCTATTCCAGGTTTTTAACTTCCCAATCTAGTGTCCTGAGAAATCTAGCGTCTCTGAGGCACCTCTTATTTGCAGGAGAAGGAGGGCAGCATATACAAAAGCCTCTGAGTAACTGAGAAAGAAAGCCATGCTTGGAATCTGCCGAAAACCGCCGCCCGAAAAGCACGGCTTTCATTACCAGTTACTCAAGAGGCTTTTGTATATGCCGTCGTAGTCCTCGTCCTGCAAATGAGAGGTGTCTCAGAGACGCTAGATTTCTTAGGACGCTAGGTTGGAAAGTTAAAACTTGGAATAGGGTACAATCAAACTTGATTCAAAGCCTTCTGCCCCGTGGAAAAAAGAGCAGCTCCACTCTCGTGCTCTTCCCGCTGACACTGCTCGGCCTGAAACAGGATCGTGGATGAAAGCGTTTTCAGGCCGAGCAGCAGCAGTGGGGAGACCACACACCTCCTGAGCTGCGGGAAGCGGCTGCCAGCGATGCCCTCAGGGCAAAGCGTGACCCGACAAAAGGGCGAACGACAAAACCGCGCCCGACTAAACCGCGTCGCTAAAATCGCGATGTCATCAACGCGGCGACAACAACGCGGAGGCAGAAGGGCGCTTTACAACAGCGCGTCAGCAGAAAGCCGATTTAACAAGGTTAGGGTTAGGGTTAGGTTCAGGGTTAGGTTCAGCGTTACATTTAGGGTTACATTTAGGGTTAGAGATTAGGTTTACAGCGTGCTTCTGTCACCGCGCTGTTGTCGGCGCGATTCAGCGCTCATTCGTCGGAGTGCTTTAGAACACGTGGTTTTGTCACCGCGGTTTAGTCAGGCGCGGTTTTGTCGTTCGCCCTTTTGTCGGTGAACCAGGGCAAAGACGTTGCGAACGGAGAAGGCTCAACCCCCCTCAGGAGCCACCAAGCTCTTGCTGCCCTTCTGACACCTGTGAGGATCGTGGAGGAAAGCATTGTCAGGTAGCGGATCCCAATTCCAAAAACGGTGCATGCAGAAAGCGCTGCCACCTGAAAGCTCTTTCCTCCACGATCCTCACATTTCAGGTGGCGGATCTGGCCAGGAGAAAAGAGAATGCACGTCTCCGATGGGAGGAGGCTGAGCGGGTGTCAGAGAGGTGGCAAGCACTTGGTGGCTCCTGAGGGGAGCCTTCAAAATGCTTTCAATGCAATTCCCTGGGCCGCTTCGGGAATCAGACTCCATGTGGAAGTGAGGATCCCTGTCGCCAGGAACCGAAAATCCGACGTGCAGACCAGATGGGCGAGGCTACATTTGGAGTATAAGAAACACCCAGATTTTCACCCTCTTTTGGGGGGTAAAAAAGTGCATCTTATATTCTGAAAAATACGGTAACTGAAATTAATTGCATAAAAGAATGAGGAATGCATAAAAAAATTAATTGCATAAAAGAATGAGGAAATTGGTCTCATATGCAACCTCAGAAAATACACTAGTTTCTCAAATTGGAGAATATGCAGAAACATATTGTGAATATAATGCTAGAAGGCAGCTTGATGCCAGTTTTTAGTTGCCACTTAACTAAATTGATTCAGTGGCAGATGATCATAAATTTGATTAAGAGCTTCTCAGAAAATGGTCAGCCATTTATGTTCAAACAACATTTTTATGGGTTTTAATTTTGATTAGCGTCTTTGGATACTACTACTGTGTGCAAAAAACTACTAAATGTAGTAGTCAGTAGTCTGACTAGTAGCCAGTAGTACTTGTCCTTGCTATAGATGGCTATCCCTTTCAGGAATGGCTCAGTTTTTAAGGGAGGAGGGAAGATGGCCCCTCACAGCGTGGATCCAGGTTAAAGCCCCTCACGGCGTGGGTCCAGGTTACTTGAGGGACCATCTCACCCCACTGGGGTTGGCCTACCTCATTCGTGCTGGCAGAGGAGGCCTGGTGGGGGTCCCGTCTGCCCGATTATTCCAACTGGCAGGGTCCAGGTGGGGGGCCTTTTCTGCTGGGGTTTTCCCTCTGCCACCCCCCGATGTGAGGTTGGCTCCAACTCTCCCATCTTTTAGTAAGGGCCCAAAGACGTGGCTATACCGCAGTGAAGGGGGCTGATTGAATAATAACAGATCCCACCTGTTATGGTAAATTTAATAAAATAATAAATAAAATATAATATAATCTTTGGAGCAGGATGCTGTTAAAACATTTTGAAGTTTCCTGCTGCTTCGGGCATCTTCAGCTGTTGATTTTTCATATCTTAAGTCTCTGAGGTTGCAAAAGTTCTAGCTGCAGGATCCATTTTCCAGCTGAGCCCAGAAAACTGTCCACTGTGTGGTGTTTTTTTGTTTTGCTTGAAATAATAAGACATTTTTCCAGTAATGTAATTTTTTAAAATTAAATATGCATTGACATCAACATGCCTGTTGATCATGAAGCAGCCGTTCCAGAACTATAACTCTGTGGGAAGAGGAATGAGAAATACGTTCGGCTGCATTGTTGTGCTTTAATAAATTTACTTTTGACTGCATCCAGAACATTTTCACCTGTGAGGTGGAATTGTCAGTCCTGTTTAAGCTTGCTGGATCTCTGATCCTGAATAAACAAAGCAAATTGCCTTGCTAGGACGTACTGTAGCCAGACTAAATATTTGAAAGACAATATTGGTTTTTAATGATTTGGTATTTTGAGCAACGCTTCAAAGGCAAGCTTTTGCACCATTTTTATCGTAGCCTTTGGCGGTCTTAGCATATTTGCATAGCTTAGAAATGAAGTTTAAGAAACCCCAAATGAACATTAGGCTAGCCATGAACAATGAACAAAGTCGAGTGGCTTGTGATCAGAATCAACCATGTAGCTGTCAGCCACAAGAGATGGGCATTTCCGTTCGTTTTTGGATTTATTGAATGGGGTCAGCAAAGGCAGATATTCAGAAATTAACGCTCAGCGTATCTTGTCAGGTGGACTTTGCCAACCGCTTTGTCGGAGGGGGTGTCACTGGTGCAGGATTGGTACAAGAAGAAATCCGGTTCTTAATCAATCCAGAATTGATCGTCTCTCGTCTCATTACGGAGGTCCTGGATCACAATGAATGTCTGATCATCACAGGTGAGTAACTCTTTTCTCCAGATGGATTCCTGTGGATTGCAGAACTCAGCTTGATTCACAGGTGCACTGGTAAAAAGCAAGTCAAGATTGACCATGCTCTAGAATTGAGATTGTACAAGGAGATCTGGAATTGTCTTTGTGGTAAGGGCTCCTTGGTGCTCTCTGTGCTTGCTTGTTTTCTTCAAAATGTCTCATTTACCCAACTAGGTAACATCATGAGTGCTAGATGAGGTTACCTAGTTTCAGTAATGAACCATCTGGAAGGAAACAAGCAAGCTCAGAGAGCACCAAGGAGCCCTCATTTCAACCCTGAACTAGAAATATTCTCCTTTTTTAGTCTTTGTTGTATTGCAAAGAACAAAGGGTCTCACCTGTTACTTTTCTACAATGTGGGATTCCTTAGTCATATATTTCATAGTTAACTAGCTTTTCCGTTCCACAATCAGAGAAACACTTTAAAAGAGCAGCTCTCTAGATTCACAGTTCACTTTGAAGCAGTTGGTGCTATTATTTCCCTTATTTTCTTCCCATTTTTAGTTTGGGTCTTCTTGGTAATTCATAGAATTTCTGGTCCTTCTATAAAAGGGTTTTCTTGGGAAAGCCGAGGTCACTGGGAATCTTTATCTGTGCAACAATTGGTTGATTTATGACCAAAACCACGAGAAGTCACCTTTGCTGCAAGATTTAGCCTTCTTTAAAACTGTCCAGTCAATTCATGAGTCCTAGAAGAAAAATCACCTATTGATTAAACAAAAATTGATCGCTTATATTGAATAATGAAAGAAGCGAATGGTTTCTCGGTTTACCAGAACAGAATCCTGCCATTTTTAGCAGGGCCATTCCTGTAGCATTTTGCAGTTTTTAGCTTCTAATGCATATGGGGATTTAATTTTGAGGATCGATTTAGAAAATGGAATCTCATTTCCCATCGTTTGGCAAGGCCCCATGGTTTTTATTAGAGGCCAAGTATATCACAGAGATTTTTCCTGTGCGCTCTATTGAATAAGAAATATGACAATCTTTATAAACACTCTAGAGTTTGTTATTTAAGTAGATTCGTGGCTGTGGGGTTTTTGCAAAAAAAAATTGCAGAAAGATGTTCTCGGTAACAGCTGAATAACTCTTGTATAGATGCTTCTGTTTGATTGAAAAATAAAGTCCATTTTTAAAGAGCAGCAGTGCTAGGTGTTGGCAAATTAGTTTGAAGAAGTAAACAGAAAGTGGAAAACAGGAAGATGAGAAATGAACTGGTTGTGTTTATGTTGATTTGAAGATACTGTTAATAGGAAGGTGAATAAATAAATCAATTGTCCTTAGATCATTTTAAAGTGTTGCTTAAACATAAGTAAAATTGATAGGCTTTAACAGGATCCAAATGACAATTATTTTATGTGTGATTGAGAGTACTTTATTATTATAATTTCATCATTAATCTGTATGAAAATCTTCCCAATGGGAAGTGTAGTTAGTTTGAGCTGAGAGAGCTAACCCAGGGAGCCACTAGAGAATAGTCTTGTGGTCTTTATGAATTGTTTGCTAAATGTCAGTATTGTTTGCATATTAGTACCTGATGATCCTGCAAGGCTTGGCAGAAAGGGATTAAAAACAATTCTTGCTGGTAAATCAAAGATTTTTGGATCCTACATCCAAAAGGTGAAGATTCTAATGTGCAAACCAAAGTAAAATTCTTTTTCAAAGTCCTATAGTTATTCTGGTGTTTTCTAATTAATATTTGTGGTGCAGCGTTCTACTCTCTAATGGAAAATGCCACTTCATCATCTTCATTATATCTCTGGCTGGCTTCCACCTCTACTTAAGCAGGTTTTTGCTGTGTACAGCTATCTGTCTGATAGATTACATTTTTTCAGTGATGTATCTTGACTCAGTGGCCTAATGGATAAGACTGTGCTGCTGAATTTTGCAGAAGACTGAGAAATTGCAAATAAATTAGATTTGTTGCAATTGACCGGCATCTGCTTGAGATCATCCCAGTAACAAATATGAGATCAGTCATGCAAAAAACACAAACAGATACCTTTCCTAACCCACCAATGAATCAAAAGAACCTCATGATCCAATAATTGTATTCTGAGATGTTTTGTTTCTTGCTTTGATAGTTGCAGACAGAATGTGAAAATTAATAAATCCGAGTGTTTCATTTATATAACTCTAAAATTTAAAATTAATACAATAGGAAGCTTTTATGAATATGGTGGATTTCCAGTGGGTGGTTTTCCTATGCAGAATCAGCTGTGACAGCTGGGGAAATTGGGAAAATGCCTGCTTTAACAGCTCCAAAAAGAGGTGTTCTATGTGCCTTTCAAGCCATTTTCAGAGTCAGTACAGCAGACCCGTAGTTCCAAAGGGTGCCATTGGTGAGGGAATTCTGGGAGTTGAAGTCCACACATCTTTACATTGCAAAGTTGAAAAACACTGATTTAGAATAGGCTATATTTCCTGGGAAGAGAGGAGAGATCTTCCCCTTTGTATTGATCTTCTGTGCTTCTATTTTTTAATATCCCATCCAGGTTACTTTTGGCTTCATTGTTCTTCTCCTTCCTCCCCATTGCTGACCTTGAAAACTGAGAGAAGCTGGAGAGAGATCCAGAAAATGCTAGAATAAAGTAAAATGCTCATCTGAAAATGAGTTTTTAATGCCACTTTTTTTTTTAATTCAGGGACTGAACAGTACAGTGAATATACTGGATATGCAGAAACCTACCAGTGGGCCAGGAGCCATGAAGATGACAGGCCCAGGTAAAATTCTGACCCTCCAAATTAACTTTAAATAATAGAATTTGTATTGGCATAATTTTGGGGAAATCTGCAACAGAAAGTAAGTATTCTTCAGAAATCCAGGCCATCATTTCGTCCAAGCAGGACACCTCAGTCTTCCTTCTTTCATTTCATTTGATTGCTTTATCTTCCCCTTTCTGTCAATCACTTGGGTGGGTTATAATTAAAAAAATATATTACTAATAAAAATACTAAAAACATTTTAAAACAGTAAAGAATTGATTTATGGGTTGGGACCATTTTGATCTCCAAAAGAAGAAGAAATATATTTTTTCATTCCTTCCTTGAACCATATTCTGTATCTACTAACTGTGCTCACTATTGCTTGGACTCTTTTCATCTCTCTGTAAAAAAAATATCTGTAAAATCCCAGTTATATTAAAAACCTATCTATCTATTGGGTTCTGTCACCTATGTTTGGTTCCTTGAACTTGAGGATGTGAGAAGGGATCATCAAGATACAGTTGTTTTTCTACAATCCTCCAACGCCTTGAGTTTGAGTGGAGCTTCCATTGTCCGTTGTTTATGGGAAGAAAGTCAAGAACCATGTTTCCTCTTGTGCCATATTATCCAGTGTTCTCTGCCCAGCAGGGCTAGACGTTGTAGAAGAAGATGCTGAAGACAGTGTTGATATTATTTTCTTCACCTTGCAATATAATACAATACATTGTATTGTATTCACAATACAAGGAAATATTATTGTATTTGTAATCCACTGAGTATAAATTGTTATAATTCCAATCCAATTTGTAATCCACATATGAATCCCCACAAAAGGAGGACAAAAAGAAATAAAGAAAAGAAAACCCCCCAAAGAGAAGAAAAAAAATGAAAAAAAATATAGAAAAAACCTTTGTAATCCAAATTTCAGAATTTTACTTCTTTTCTTCAGGTTATTCTTACCTTAATACAAATTACCTCAGGAACAGGAAAAATAAAATAAAAATAAAATTTGTAATCCAAATCAGCCCACCAAGAAGATAAAAAATATATAGAATTAAAAATAAGAAGGCAGATAACAGTCACTAAAAAAAGAGCAAAACTCAGAATCTTATTTCAGAGTATCCAAAAAACAAAAAGAAAAGAAAAATCCTTATAGTCTATTTCTACTATTTCACCTTTGAAGTCCCAAGAGCTGCACTATTCAGTAAGAAGCAAAAACAAAGTTCCCCATGTTCCGCGCTCTATCAATCAAAACAATTTCTTATCATTTCAATTCACAGGCTCCCAAGGTCACATCTCATCCTGGCTTTTATGTCCTCCAATTTACACTGGTGCCTCTAGATGGCAATGTTGTTCAATTCAAAGAAAAAAAGTTTTATAAACAAAAGAAACAACAAAAAGTTTGTATACTCACTTTAGCTTTAGTTATCAATCCTAATTTGAATATCCAGTCTGGTTTTCTGTCTTTATTCTTCAAACCAATCTTTCTCAGCCAGTTTTATTTTTTCCCCTTTGTTCTTTTGGCTCCATCTGCCTTCCTCGCAACTGTTCTATCGGAGGTGGAGCCCCCACTTCCACCACCTCTTTAAGCCGTACTCTCCTCTCTGTGTTGTTTCCAAGGAGGTTCAAAAAGAAAAGAAAATGTGTTTGTGTGTGTGTGTGTGTGTGTGTGTGTGTGTGATCTCACTCAGACCATTCACACCTTTCTTCCTCCTCCACACTTTTGCTGTGGCTGCCCCAGCTTTGTAGCGGCTTGCAATGCCTGCCTTCACAGCTGTCAGTTTGGGAAGCTTCCTCCGATTCAATCAGGGAATTTGCAGAGTCCCTGGAATCGTTGGGGTTCGTTCCCCCTGCTCACTGTCCCTACAGGATGGTTTCGGTCCCAAAGGACCACCCCGATAGTTTGGATATCGGCGATTCCCTCAGGAGCACCAAAAGGAAACGTCGTCTCATGAGAACGAGATGACGTTTGGACTTTAGATGTTCATTTTAAGTTAGTTTCATTGCATTACATTACACTAGTCAAAAACAAAAACGTACCAGCATTAAATGATTCATACACAGTAGTTTTAACACAGTACTTATGGATAATTGGGGACTTAAAAAAAAAACAAGCAAAAGAAAGGACAATTAAAGGCTTGGATATTATGTCTACAAAATCTACAAAAGTAAAAAACTACAAAATCTTCGACCAATATGCTCAAAAGTCTTCTTTCTTACCTGTTTGTGGAAAAAGAATGTTGATGAATAACATATGAAAAATTCACTGCTGCAAGCCAGAGCTAGATTTCTTCTTCCTGTGCTGTGTAATTCTTTTCATTGATCTTCATGTTCCCAAATGTAGTTCATATTTTGACAGGTTCCCAATGCTGAGGCTATAACCAAGCAAAACATGCCCGCCTGCCGTGAGCAGCAATAATAATAATAATAATAATAATAATAATAATAATAATAATAATAATCTAAATTGAATGGTGGAAATACAATCAAGGCCATAAATACCTGGGCAATACCAGTTATAAGATACACAGCTGGTATAGTTAACTGGACACAAGCTGATTTGGACCTTTTGGACCAAAAAACCAGGAAACTAATGACAATGCACTACAGTTTACATCCACGTGGTGATACTGATAGACTACATCTGACCCGAAAATCAGGTGGCAGAGGATTATTACAAGTGAAGCAAACAGTTGA